GGGTTCAGTGCCAGTGTGTGCAGATCTCTGCGTCCTCATTACGTGTGCGATAGCAACCGCCATAATCTCATTAGTTCATTAAAGTGAGGTGTTCCCTCCATCAAGTCCTGCTTTGAACCATTTGGGGTTTGGTCAGAGGTGTTATGGCCTGGTGTGACACAGCTGAGGTTCTGCAGTGACGTTGGTAGGTTTCCTGTCTGTTACTTTACTAACCCCACAGCCAGCCTCTCCGAACTACTGCTGCCCCTCATCACCAAACTGACGTGTAGGGGTGATCTACTCTGTGAATGACAAATGTGACTTGTACCTTCATTTGTGACATTGCATACATCACAACCAGCTGAAATGTCTTCTAAGTAGAACAGCTTCTATTCTTGATCTGAAATTAAATATTATTACCTTTTGTTTGAAGTGTACGTATCCTTGAATGGAATAAATAACTTGTATCTTAAATCTCTCGTAGGAACTGATCTGTGGTGAATAATCGTAACAACCAACTGCCAAGCTGTATAGGCAAGCTCAAGAATCTGCAATACAGTGTCATCACATTAACTGTAAAACTTGCCTCTGGATGTAAATCAGCATGCTAATAAATGTAATTTCTGTTAAATGGATGTGTGGAAAGTTGTTCCTCTTGAAACAAAGGACTCCATTTTGCAAAGATGTTTATCTTTCACTTGTGTTAAAATAGGAGACTGGTTTTATCACAATCTACCATTCAGTAGCAACATATGTTTATTTTTAAGGCAAATCTCTTGTTGGATTTCCTACTGATAGTTCACGTACATTGATGAGTGAGGGATTTAATTGTTTAAAACTTTCCTGCTTACTTCATTTCAATGATTAATTATTACTGTGGAGAAAAGTTATCTTCACTAAAACGTATGTCAACAGACAACATAGGCATACCCTTTTGATAATTAAAAATGCCTCTGCCAGTTCTCTCTGCTGCAAGTGGTATGCTGCTGGCTTGAGAAGTTTCTGTCATCGTGGTGTTCATGTTGCATTTGTGCTTAGAACAGAACTAACTCAGTGAAAATCACTACACACTTCTGCTGTTGACTTGAACGCGAGGTATTAACTTTCTTCAGAGTATAATAAACTCTCTCTTCTAATAGCATAACAAAACAAGCTCAATTTTCCATGTAATTAAGTTAGCCCTTATAATAAACTATTATTTTTGTCTATCAAATGTTTCAAGTATTAAAGTATTTTGTAGAATGGTATACAATTTTTATTTTAAAGAATATTATAAATACAGTGTGAAAAAGATGGCTGTGAAGGGCAAGAAACTTTTTTTCCTGAAGTCAGGATATGGTTTTGATTTAGTAATTGCTGTCAAACTTATATCTTACCTAGCTGCAAACCATTCATCCATGTTACTGTACTGAGTGATAGTAAGAAAATATACAGTAGTTAGTACATGGGGGGGGGAAAAACACCACACCAGAACTTTCACACAGTGTTCACAACTTTGTATGCTAATATAATTTACTCTAGAGTTTGAAACAGAAACAAACCACACAATGATAATGAATACAAGCTCTGCAATAATATAAGCCAGGAATGTGTTAGAACTATTAAAGTCCTTTTAAAAAAGTAATAATGTGCATTTTCAGTCTTTTGCCCGATGTTGTTTCCCCTTCCCCTGCAACTGAAGGAACTGAACTTGTCTGCAGATCTAGTGTGTAGTAAAACAGATGCTGCCTTACAGAGGTTCGTGTGTTCCTAAAACAGTAACAAGTTCACAAACACAGACTGTGGTTACCTGAGAATAAATACATTGGATGAGTTGATAGCATATTTTGCTGTTGCTTATGATCCTGATATGTACACACACACACACAGGCTGTATATTACATTCAGTGTCTGGTGATAATAGTCTAAAAGTGAATACATTTACAAGAAAGGTTGTTATGAGACAACTTCTCTTCATAGTGATGGGAGAGAATCAGTGACAACAGTTGTTGAGGAGAGTAAAGCATAGCTGCCATTAAACATTGTATTGTAATATGGGATACGTTTTGGCCAGAGGCAGTGAAAAAAAAAAATCTTAAAAAAGGTGTTATTTTCAGTATGCAGATGATGCCTACTGAGTGTTACAGGCTTATTTGGAGAATGTTTTGGCATTACCATTGTTTTTACAGTGCTTCCTTTTCTGGGCTAGCTTCCACTTCTACCTCTTCATATTCCTCAACATCTGCAGTGGCATCCTGGTACTGTTGGTACTCAGACACAAGGTCGTTGGTGTTACCTTCTGCTTCAGAAAACTCCATCTCATCCATACCTTCACCAGTATACCAATGGAGAAATGCTTTTCTTCTGAACATAGCTGAGAACTGTTCAGAAACCCTGATGAAGAGCTCCTGAATGGCAGTGTTATTGCCAATAAAGGTAGCTGCCATTTTCAGTCCTCGTGGTGGTATGTCACACACCGCCACTTTGACATTATTAGGGATCCACTCCACAAAGTAGGAACTATTCTTGGTCTGGACAGCCAACAACTGCTCATCCACTTCTCTGGTAGACATTCGGCCTCTGAAGATGCATGCCACGGTCAAGTAACGTCCACGACGAGGGTCGCAAGCTGCCATCATGTTGCGTGCATCAAACATTTGCTGAGTAAGCTCTGGCACTGAGAGAGCTCTGTACTGTTGGCTGCCTCGAGCTGTCAGTGGAGCAAAGCCTGGCATAAAGAAATGCAGGCGAGGAAAGGGCACCATGTTAACTGCCAGCTTCCTCAGATCTGCATTCAGCTGACCGGGAAAACGGAGTGAGGTTGTGACACCGCTCATCGTTAGGGACACTAAGTGGTTGAGGTCACCATAGGTGGGATTGGTGAGCTTTAAAGTTCTAAAACATATATCGTATAGAGCTTCATTGTCAATGCAAAAGGTTTCATCTGTATTCTCTATTAGCTGGTGGATGGAGAGGATGGCATTATACGGCTCTACAACTGTGTCGGATACTTTGGGTGAAGGCACAACACTGAAAGTGTTCATAATCCTGTCGGGATATTCTTCTCTGATTTTGTTGATGAGGAGTGTGCCCATACCTGAGCCTGTACCACCACCCAGTGAATGGATGAGCTGGAATCCCTGAAGGCAGTCACAGCTCTCACACTCGTTCCTGACCACATCCATGACGTTTTCAATCAGTTCAGCGCCTTCTGTGTAATGGCCCTTAGCCCAGTTGTTTCCAGCACCCGAATTACCTGTAAACACATTACAGAAAGAACAGCCACAAAGTTAACGAGATCTTTGTTAAAGGCTACAAAGAGTTAAAAGGAGCTTTTGGGACAGTTGACTTAATTTGGTTTCCTGACATCGTGCTGTACATACCATGAATAAAATTGTCAGGTCGAAAAAGTGGGCCTATTTTGCTAGACCGTACACTGTCCATCGTACCAGGCTCCAGGTCCACCAAGATAGAACGCGGCACGTATTTATGGGCTAGGACAAAAGAAAATACAAACAATTACTGTTAGAAGTCAAAGGGACAGGCTTATAATCTAGTTGGAAAAATCCAACCCACCTACAGTGATCTATTGGGGATCTATTTTTTTTCTTTTTAATTATTTTAACCTTCATGTTGACTCTGCAAATTGCTCTGCCAACACCCAGCAGTGCTCGGCACTTACAGTAAGCCTCGTTGAAGTACACGTTAATTCGCTCAAGCTGCAGCGAGGCATCCCCACGGTAGTTCCCAGCGATGTCAATTCCATGTTCATCACTTATCACTTCCCAGAACTGAAAAAAAAAAGAAAGAGGTTCAATACACTCACAAAAATGGTGGGTTTTTGGCACAATATGTTCAGAATAAGCTCTGCTGTGCTCACGCCTGACTGCACACAAAGTGAGAGCTCTGCCTGAAGTGGGGGATGTTTTGCCATTTACATATTAGTTCACAGCGGTGATCCTCCTCTCCCCCCTCCCCAAATAAGTTCAAGGAAAAAGTTTAACAGACCATTTATGCTGTTTAACTATCACCTATGCACTAATAAGTAGAGGCCTTCAATTTGTTCCCTTTATAGTAAAGGAAAATTGATATTAGTTTAAATAAAACAGGTACTAGTTGGTATAAGCTTAACAAAAAAGTCGGGGGGGTGGATTGGGGAACGTTGCCTTAAGGCCTGTCATGCACAAGTGGGACTGTGGCATGGCAAAGCCAGCTCAGACAAAGTTGTACACGAGCAATGCTTTCCACAAACAGATGTTGGTTCTAACTGCCTATCTTGACATTCATATGGAAGTCTTGTACCCGGGCTCTTATCTGGCCAGCAGCCGCAGCAGTGGCAATGCAGACACACCCACCCACTATAATGACCAGGCTCTTTTAATTTTAAAGGTCTTCCAGTCTCATTTTGAGTGTACAAATAAATACACCATTGCCAACATGTGCATGGTAGTTTAGTGTCTGTGTGTGTCTGTGTGTCTGTGTGTCTGTGTGTCTGTGTGTCTGTGTGCTTTTCCACAGGTCTTATTAGACATAAGCAGTTCCCAGATCAAAGCCAACAGAAGAAAAAAAGTCAAACTCTGAGCTATCACCCTGGCTGTGTTCCAGCTCTCTGGGTCTAACGTGACATTCCCTGGTGTGCCACAGCATCGTGTTCCAATAAAAGGAATCAAGGTGAGATTAGTGGGAGCAAGAAATGGACGAAGAGCAAAATGGAACAATCCTTCAGCTATCATGTGTCCTCAAAGACCTCCCACACCCAAATTAACCCAGATACTTTTTTTTTTTTACAACTTCCTACAAATCAATTAAAAAAAAAATGGACATCACACAGCAAAAAGCTATTTGTTGTTTTTTTTTCCTCCTAGCACACAAAGTCTGCAATGAGCA